CATTTTAATCAGTGTTAGATAAATAAGGGTCCTGCTTTTATGAATTAAAGCTTCAGATTAATATAAGCAATGACTATGTAATTTCTTACTTGTTAATCACAGTAACTATTATTTGCAGATAAGAGGACATCTTTGAGCACTTGTGCACTCAGATTTTCTAAAATAAATAATAAACCTTTCTAATAATTATCATACATCCTAGTTCTTTCAAGAATTACAACACACCAAACAACTAATTTTTAACCCAGCAAAAACATGAGTACTCTTCCGTGAATCTAAAAGGAGACAACAGGTGGAAGGTTCCCTCTTGTAAAAAGGACTAAAATAAAAGTTTTACCAAATGCCTTGTCTAACCTTTGTACGCTTCTATATTCCAGCAAACTGACTGCCGCAACAGTTTTTACTTTCTCCCCTTTCAGCAGCACTGTACTGTTGATCTAACAACCAGCCATACGTCTCTGTCACTAACCAGTCACTTTATCTGTTTCTTTTTTCCCTTAATGGTTCTCCAAAGACCTTTGTTATCAATTTCTTTCATATAAATATTCTTTTTTTTTTTCCTAAACTCTTTGCTATAAAATTTATAAGAATACCTAAGATTTGGGGATTTCTGCAATCACAACCTTTATACATAAAGTCTACCTTGAAAATGAATGTAAGTAATTAAAACCCAAAGAAACTAAAAATTGATTAAACTCCCTGAGAACTCTCAGATAATTTTCTCTCTTTCTCTTTACTACATACTAGGGCCTGAACGGCACACCAGCCTGGGGAAGACCTTAGTAGCAGGCAGGACCCAGTTCTGAAGACCTCAGAAGCCAAATCAAGGGGAAGGAATAACAGCAGTCACACAAATTTTCTAGGTCTAAAACCTAAACCATAAAACAGAGACCCCTGCAGCAAGAAATGCAGCAGTAACACAAGCATTGCAGGCAACTTCCTTGTTCCCATAGCCTCTTCAGAAGGTTTTCCAGAGGAGCCAATGAAGCATCCAGCCCCAGAATGAGAGAAGAAGTGCGTGTCCAGCCATGTGGTGTGGTAGATGTGATTCCTGTGTGCTATAGCCATGATTTCTGAAATGAGCCCCGAAAGGAACACTGAAATGCAGGGCTGTTACCAAAACAGTACACTTTTGCCAGCTTGATGCATTTAAAAATTCACAAATCAGGCTACCAGAAGGCAAGAGAATAATATATAAAAGTGATAGCTAATTCAGGAAAACAAAACCAAGCAATTTCACCTATTTTTTTATTTTCTTCTGCTTTGAGTACATTTGGATCACATTTCAAAACTTTCTCTGTGGTGACTAAAAAGATATTTTCTTGCACCTATTCAACTGCAGCCATTTGGGTTTTTTTAGAAAACTGTAAGATCATTCCTCACCATCTGGGCTGAGGGCTGGACAGCGTGAACATTTGTTTCCACGCTGACCACTTTTGCTGCCTCTTTTTTGCTCTGTTGTAACAGCCACTGTGGACATAGCTATTTTTTCCTTTTTCCACCTACTTTATTTGAAGATTTCCTCGAGGTTTCCCACATGCCCCTGCTACGCTAATGCTCACACAGAGCTCACCAGCAGGGCTGCTATCAGCAACAAAGCAAGCTGCTTACTGGCTTTAGTAATCTCAGCTATGTACTGTCCCTTCAAACCCAGAAAAACTCTGCCTCTGGCTTTAGTAATCTCAGCTATGTACTGTCCCTTCAAACCCAGAAAAACTCTGCCTCCCAGTTTCTGTAGGAATGTCAACAGCATAGTGTTTTTTACAGGGGTTTGGTTTTGTTGGGTTTGATTTTGGGGGTTTTTTGTTTTTTTTTTTTAATTGTTGGGGTATTTTTACCTATAGATTGTTCTAACTGGAGGGGAGAAGAGCTGGGGAATTCACGTGAGATTTGAAGCCTCTGCATTTCTTGCCTCACTAGATAAAATAAACCAAGCTATCTCATGCGTATGTGCCTGGATATATGTTATTTTCCATACTAAGTTCAGGTTTGGCAAAAAGGAATCACAAAGACTGATAATGCAGCATTTTGTGAATGGTAAAACCCTCCTTCGTTGGGGGTGGGGGAGGGATGAGACAAACCCCAAAACCCACTAGCTAATGCTTAAGTAACAAATGCCACCAAGTGCCCATTTTCTGAACAACTCTTTCAGCTGAACTGAAGTGAAACGGTTCTTAACTGTAATCCTCAGGAAACAGACCCACCAAATCTTCTGATTCACTGCTATTTATCCACTGGCAGTGTCATTATCAACTGGCTAAATTACAGTCTGAAGTAGATACTGCATAAATACTGAGAAAAAATTCTGAGTTAGTGATGAACTTCAAGTGCTTGAAAATTCACTCAACTCCTATCATGGTAGACATGAGAGGAATTTTGGTCCATCACATAAGTTCATTAGTGTTATTTCTCTCATTATTCTATCAGTCCTTAAGTGGACAGTTGTTAGAAGAAAGGAAACGGGAAAAGAGTTACCTAGTTTAGGTTTTACCATGTCTTATTTTACAATTTCATCCATAACTGTGTGTGCTGTCTGCTTAGTAATCTTGAAGCTCTGTAGTTTTATTCTGATAACACATGCGGAAGATAGTAGGAAAACTAAAAATCAAAGTTTGCATAACAGTTTAATTAAAAATATTTATGTTAAGATACTAAATAATGCTTCCAGATATAACAAGTATTTTTAAGGCCTCTTAGTCTTTCTTCCTTTTTTTTTTTTTTAATTCTTGGGCAGACTCCTTTGATGACAATTTTGGAATAGATCAGAATCCACTCAGGAAGTCTGCCTAAAAGCACAAAATTTCTGCAAGTTTCAGCTATACTTCACAGGAGGTAAGGTATCAAAGCAACCAGACTAGTGTTATATCTCCTACCTCATGACAGCAAGAGTGAAGTGACAGAGGTAAATATATACTTGAAAGAAAATTACTTTTAAGAAGGGCAAAGGCCCCAAAGCTGCACTTACAAGTTTAAGTAGTGTAGAGGAGTTCTGTCTTACCCTTATTTTTAATCAGCAAAGTGCAAGAAAGTTTAAAACATAAGACCTTGCTATAATTATTTAATATAGGTTCATAATTTATCCATATATAAAATGCAAAAATAAAATACCAAAATTTTGTTGAAGCATGCAATCAAAATACATGATAGCCATTTCCAATTTCAGGTGGTATGACCGTATCAAATGCAGCTCTTGTGTTTCTTTCCTTCCTACTTCTCAAATCCTGAAATTTTACAGCTTTTTTTCTGCTTCTGCATTAGAAAAGTCCTGGTTTCTCTTTCATTTAAATGTTTTATTACATTTATGAATCAAGGTATAAATATGGTGTCCTCTCTTTCTAAAGAGTATCAGTTGCATTTGATTTGCAGAGGATAGGGAAACATCTGCAGGGTCATTTAAAATTTATGACTAATTACTAAAGAGAATTTTCTTTTAAATTTTAAATTATAGGTAGCACATCTGACTCAAAGGCTGCTGTTTCAAAATGCTCCTTAGTAAACAGAAGTGTACAGTCTGCTCTTATATGTGCTTCCTTCCCAGATTTTCTCCTCTTTATCCCACTCCCCCAGGCTTCAGAGTACCCATCTCCATGGCAACACTCGATAAGGTTGGTGGGTGGTGTTATCACAGCAGGCTTCCCCACAGAAGGTCTCAGCCATATGGATTATTTATGAACTTGTATGACAGCACCAGACCCACTGAAATACTTCTTGAGCAAGTGTTCTTGTCTCTGAAAGCCAGTGATTCAAAGCAGAGCACCCTTACTGGAGTCAGCACCCATCAGTAGAGAAGAACTGTGAAGGTGGTCACTCATCCATCCCCAAAGCCTCCTTGCCACTGCCTGCAAGTTTCTCTTACCCCAGATAAACACCTAATGACAAATACCATAAATCATGAGTACTATATATGCCAGTTAGGGCAACTGGAAACTTGTGGCTTCTGACAAGATTAACATTTCAGTTATACAATGACTAAATAGCTGATACAACTGATAGTGCTGTTGGGAGTTGCTGTTGCAGATACACTGCAGTATATGTGTCTCTGAATTACTTCCAGGAAAAAAGAAAACAAACAGCAGTCTGGCTTTGACACTGTATTTTCTTTGCCTGATTTTTTTCCTGAAATTCCTTTTTTTTTTTTTTCAGCTAAGTTTGTTGCATTTACACTGTATTAATACAAATAGCACATATCAATTTCTTTAAAGGACTGCTATAATAACAGCCTATTTCTTTAAAATACTAGAGTGATCTGGATAAACACATTTTTTGAGCAAAAACTATACAGCTATAAGGGCCTGTCATATGCAACCCCTTCATCTAATGATTTTTATAAATTTGTCAAGCTCTATCTTAGAGCAAGACAGATTTTTCTCTAGGAGAGTAAAAAAGTGATTCAGTTCTCACATAGACATTTGTGGGGGTTTTTAACATAGCAAACACTGAAAATTTAATGGTTGTGATTTATCTTCCTAGCTATCCATATATTTAAAATGTATACATATGAATTTCAATTGGTCACAATACGCTTCCTTTATAATCAATAAGAAATAGGAAATGCTGAGGCAAAATTCATCAGATTCATTATCAAAATCTTCTCAAGTATTATATTACTTGTACTCTAAGCACCAAAAACACCAGCAAAAATTCACATGGTATTTCAGCCAGCTTTTTGAAGAGGAACAGTTCAGATACCATAAGAAGGGCTTCAGATCAGCCAGTGAAGATGTAAGCACCTCTATTCCACTTTTCCTCTTTCATCACATACAATCAATCTCTAATTAAGGTAAAATGCTCAAGATTAGAAGAGCTCTATCATTTACAACACTGAAGCTGACAACTCATTTGGAGAAAACTTGGTTAGACCAGGTATGATAATCAATTGGAGGAGGCAGCAAGAAAAAATATTTGGTCTTGATACAGAAAGGAAAATTAAAAAATAAGGAGAATTCAGAGAAACAGGAAGTCAGAATCACAGAACGTAGCAACCACATTAACAATACTACCTTGACAGAAGCTTTGTCATTTGTCTTCCTTGGATACAAATTTGTAGCTGCAGACTGGGAGAGAATACCAAGATATTTAAGATATTGCTGAAGAGAATTGGCCAAGTTCACATCCTTTTCCAGATTGTAATTTCTTTCATTATCTGCATTCTGTCCCAAAATCCTACACAGCAAAAGCAAGAAAAAGAAAGTTACCAGCCTGTACAATGTACAAAGTGCCCAATCAAAAAGGCACTGCAAAACACTGAAGTTAGTTCCATACATAAGAAAAAAGTGCCTCAAATCTTAACAACCACAGAAGTACAGAATATTCAGTGTTTCAACAAAAGCAGTCAAAAATCTTACACTATTAACAATTTATTGCAGGAATCAAAGTTAATGATCTAACAGTAAATCAAATAAAATGCCTACATCAAGGCAAAGCCATATTCAGAAAAAAATGCTTGTAAAAAGAAAATATGCATGATCAAATTGCACCCGCAAAGAAAAATTAGATGATTCTAACATTTTTAAAAATTGCTGGACAATGATGAGATTCAACATCAATGTAGCCCTGCACCAATTTACAGAATACTGTGAGCCCACTGGATGTGCAGAAATAACTAAGACAGTCAGCTCCAGCAAAAAGCTTAAAAAAAGGAATAATGAGGCAGAACAAGTGTGTCTTCTGATCTTCTCACATGTCTGGGATTCACAGAATAGCAGGGTTTCCTGAGTGGTTTAAACATATCTTGGTGACGTTTGCAAAGAAAAGCTAAAAATGTGATTAAACAACAGCAGCGTAGAGTTATTTATATAGGATTCATTGCATTGTGTGCAATGAATCTGAATTATTACTGGCTCTCCTCATCTATCTCAACAACATGTCAATGATGATGATAATTTAAATGTCAACACTAGTAACTATTTCATTCCTTGTGCACTAAAGCAGAGAGAGGGTTCCCAATCTGCTTCTTTGCCTGCGAACAACATATCATTTTGACTGGAATCACCTTTTTAGTGTCACCATTTCCTATCGATAGGCCCATACACCTCTTCAGTGATGAACAGTTTCTGGTGGAAGAGATTTCAGGCTCAGGGAGACAAGACAGCATTTGACTTTCAGCATCTCCATGCCGCTGTAAATAAAATTTTATTCTACCAGCCCATGCCATGGTGCTTCTTTAGGGCCACAGCTTTAGAGAGTACCATTGTGTCATTTTCCAAACCTTAGATTTAATTACATTAATTTATGCACAAAGAAACAGACTTCCTTCCATGTTCACAGTTGTATGAAATGCTTATCCAGACTAATTTAATACCAATAAATGTAATTAATAATCTAATTTATTGTAGTGGGATTGCCCTGACCCACTTGTAAACCTTCATGAGGTTTACATAGGCCCAGCCCGTCAGGTTCCTCTGGATGGCATCCCGTCCATCCAGTGCGTTGACTGCAGCACACAGCTTGATGTATCCCACTGTCCATATTGCTGACAAAGATGTTAAACAGCTCGGGTCCCAATCCTGATCCCTGTGGAATGTCAAGCTGTTTATTTCAGAGCTCTAAATTCTGCCTCATGATGGAGGGTTGACATGCAGGTAACATTATCCAACTCCTTTTCAATTTAAAGCCAGACTAAAACTGTTCTGCAGTTTTAGAAAGAGCTGGGCAGTATGCTTTCTGCTTCAATAGAGATGAACTAATCCAAAGAGGCTCTCATCATAGAAGGCATCCTAGGTTCAAACACTCATCTTTAATTCATCAATTAATTCCACCACCTATCTTCACGTTTCTTCACTAACTTTGAAAAGAAAGGAAAAATGGAAATACCAGACCACATTCTGCCCCAAAGATTTCCAATGGGAACTAAATGCACAGATAAAAGACAGTATTTAAGTTAGCTTTTCAAGCCAATATTTACAGTATATAATCACTCATACTGGTGGTAGAAGCAAAATCAGGGGTCTAAGATTTGTCATGTCTCTTATGACGACACTAATTGCACTCAAATTGTGTTTAAATTTCACATTAGATGAAATATTTTACACTACAAAATTATAAACTATTAAAATGTAAAAGTCTAACAAAGCATTACATTTCTTTTGCTGACAACCTTAATAAAATCCTATGAATACATCTGAAAGATTTGAAAAAGATTTTGCAGTTCATCAATATATCACTGTTGTTCACCATTTTAACACAGAAAGTAAAATATGCTAAATGAACTATTATTGCAAGTGAATTAAAATATTGCTTTTAAATTTCACAAAGTGATATTGGAAAACGGATGAAAGACAAATACATAAAAGCTAAGTAGGAAAAATGACTGTCAGCTGAATTCTTGTTGTGCACTTATTTAGAAGTATTTTCAGTTTTAACTTATTCTGAAAAAGGACTTTGCATATACAATGAACTTTAGAGTATAAAGACAATAGCATATATAATTATTTATCAACAGAAATAAATCTGTATTTCCTACAAGAAACAGTTGCTTAGAAGCTTTTTTGTCGAAATGTCTAAATCACTGCATCTCAGATATTTCTAGAATGGTCTCAATTAATAGATACCACAATTTTAGGGGAAAAAAAATAATATCCCTTTTAAACGCTCTAAGAATCTTATTACTGACTTAATTATGGGTTTATTACAGAAATAATGTTATAACCCATTTCATACATTGAAGTTTTCTATAAACGTTTGTGGGTTTGCCTAATTGCCCCAGTGAACACAACTGATATTTCTTCCCTGTGTACAGAAAGGAATTTTTTCCTTTATCTTGGATACTCTTTCAAGACTGGGGTCTTTTTTGAAATTTAATAAGGGTGCAGAAACTACCATGTACACTCCAGTGAGCCACCAAGGAAAGAACTTTCATCTTTAAATCAAGCTCCAGTTTCAGCATTTAAGATGAAATCCATGTCTTCTGTTTCATCAGATTTCATATGCACTAATTTAGCTTAAGTCAATTTACCTTTCAAGTGTCTGAGTCTATTTTCTTGCTCTCACTAGCTCTGTAGGGATTAATGACTCATTAGTGTGACTTCATATTGTCTTATTACACATGTGACCCTTAATAAAATACCTTCCTGCCACAATGTTTTTTGATAATTAGATACCTACACTAAGTTGCTTTTTTTAATTATTTGATTATTTTCTGATAAGATTTTTAGCAAGCTCATTGAGCACACTAAGAATAGCTTGATCAGAATCTACAGGATGCCAGAGAAAAACTTCCTACTGTTCTCTGACCTACAGAATATATTACAAATGGACAACCAGAAAAATCAATTAATGCTTTAAACTGTTGGCACATAAGATAATGTTTTCAGAAGCACAGCTTGGTAAATTCAGAAAATCTATCCACAAGAGAAACTGCTATAAGTGGAACATATTTGAAAGTCTGATGTCCCTAAAGTGTCAATATACAAAATGGTTTGGGGATTATTTTTCTAAATGTATAGTTCTAGATAAAAATGCAAAGCAGCTCAAACCTGATCACAACAGGAACCCCTAAAATTGATCATCTGTTCTCAGTCTAAGACCTAAATTATTTCTTATATCGTCTTATGCATTATATTTTTATGTAACTATGAATCTGGAACAGTGCAGAATACAGCCTTGATCTCATGGAAACCTGGCCTATTTTGTCTTACTCTCATGAATAAAAATTTAGATACACTCATTAGAAAACAAATTTAAAAAATCAACCCCAAAAGATATTCAAAATAATTTCTGATACTATGTACAGAGAGCAATCCATACAGATGCATTTAGTATATCTAAGCAGTGAAAACATGTTTATGGATTCTACCGCATGTTATCACCTTTATGATAATCTATAGACCAGTATCTTCTTTAGAAGTTACGTTTCTACTTTATTACACTCCTGAAACATACTGCGCTGTGATTTTAAGGGATGATTTTGAACCAGCAAATATGTGAAATACAGGGTCAAATTATGTGAATTAAATCAAAACAAACCAAGGCAAGCATCTGAAGCCACTGGGCACTATTAATTACACATGTTTTTTACCTCCATGACAATCTAGAAGAGAAATGGTTCTGCAGTATATATGCAAACCATATACTGTGGTATAATATGAAGATCTAAAGTCAAATATTCAGTATCTTGCCCATCAAGGCTACAAAATCAATCTTTGTCCCACTATGAAGAAAGTTTTCTAACAAAAAGCATTTTCTTTCACTTTCACTAATTTTGAGATTTCATTTCTTAAAATAAAGTAGGAGAAAGCAGAATTTACCAGTTTTAACATTCCTAAAATTTTATGCGTTTTAAAATGTCCTTCTGGGGTTTGTGTGGTTGGGTTGTACTTAAAAGTCTGTAGGATAGAATAAACCATGTAAAACAGTATAATAATGCGTGTACGTATGCCGTCTTCTACACATGAAGATGACATAATTGCAGGTCCTACCTCCTTATCACTCTACAGAATTACAGACGGTATGTCTCTTGCCACCAATAACCACTACGTCACCCCACCATATCTTTCAAGCCTACGAGGAAAATGACTTTTGTAATACCAAGAATATACAGAAATGTCCCTACATTTTTTTTCTGTCATGGGAACTTGCATGAATTTCTCCTTTCAGGACAAATTTTGCAACTAAAGCTGAGAACATATGGACTTCAAATCAATTACACCTATGTTTTGGAAGAATATGAGTTTGAATGTGTAATTAGTTCCTCAGAATGTCATTCAACATTTTTTGTTGTCTTGTTCCAGAATAAAATCTCTTGTGGATAAGCTATCATAGAAGTCTGCCTTTTTTAGCCAGTCATATGAAGAGGTGGCTGACCTGACAACTAGACACTGCATAAACTCAATAAAAGACCTGATGTTTTGAATTATGGCACCTAAATTAACACTGGAAGGCACATTTTCTTAATGAGGGATTTCAATCATTCTGTTTTCCTACTGGTGTTTTCAGTGCTGTTGTATGACTGGTTTCCCTTTATGATATAGATAGTGGGTTTGGTGATGTGTTTAATTCGGCTTCAGTGCCAATCTATTTCTCGTCATCTTCAAACCCTTCCAAAAGTCACTCAGGCAAAAAATACTATAGAAGACTTACCTTCCTGTGTCAGAGCCTTCAGATGCAAATATATCAGGGTGTCTGTTGTGGATTTTGTGAATGGTTGAGAGTTCCTGACCAATAACATGCTGAGTATAATCATCTTGCCAGGTAAAACCTGATAAATAATAAAACAAACAAACAAAAATAAGCCAACCCACTATTTAATAACTTGAAATGTTGGCAAAAAATGTGTGGTATATGAACAATATATTAAAAATGAAAAAAAAAAAAAAAAAGAAGATTTGTGCAATTGGAACCCAAGAGTGAACTACAGATTCTTCTTCTCTGTACAAAATCTTGATAATCAAACTTTCCTTACAAGGGAATGAAGACCGTAGATTATGTTAAGAGATTTTGAAACTTTACTTTTAGCAGAATTTTAGGTAGTTGCAAACAAGCTTTAATAGATTTAAAAAAAAAAAAAAAAAAGGTTACTTTGGACAGCTGTGGAAGAGTCATCTCACTATCTGGTATCGGTTGAAATGTTACTTCACTACTTCCCCATTCATGGCACACTGTCCCTTCCCTGTTTTTCTCCATGAAACCATACTTTCAGAAAGTGAAAGAGCTAGTACTGCAGTGGAAATAAGTATTTTCAGGTTTAGTGTAATACATGTGGAGGTCAATTTGCATTATCTTTATACTTTAATGTTGTGACAAAGAACTTTACAACAAGGCGGAAGTGCAACTATGAAGGCAAATTCCAGTGATTACTCATTAATTACATGCACTGCCAATCTCACGGTAATTATACTTGAAATAATGATATAACTCCAAACATAGTTGTTACCCGATTTGTAGATTTTAGATGTTACACTAATGATTTGTCTCACAGAACTTGCCCATGCAATAATTATCTGTAATTATCTAATAACTAAATATCATGTAATTGAGGAGAATTTCTGGTTTTATGCTATGCACAATAAAACATCACAAAACTCTCAAATGAATATTGACAAAAGTTTCAGACATGGTTAACCTGCTAATATTTTCTTGTAAGAAACCATCTAAAGAAAAACTCTCTCTAGTACCACATGGAAGGTAAACATATTTACTGTAATTGTGATGAGGCACACAGTTAAAGAAGTCCAGTCTAGGAAGTATTCAAACTGTTCTGTTGTCTGGGATTGAGACAAGTTTTAGGAAATAAAGCCCCCATTTGGGCAAGATTTAGGTGGACTTCATCCCAAATGTCCTTTTTATTTTTCACCCATTAATAAAAAATAATAATAATAAACAATATAGGACTCATGTCAGCATGCAAGAAGGCTTTAACAAAAAAGCTCTCTGATACCTCCCCAACACTCTGCTTTTGCTCCTTCTTTCTTCTTTTTTTCTATAAAAGGTTACTTAAGTTTATTGAGGAAACACTTTACCTGAAGTCAGGTTAGATGCTAATGGCTACAGTAAATGACTTCAGGCTCTTGGGAGGGGGAAGAATCTCTATCTCTGTCTAATCTAGTTTTAGTTCTGATTCATCCTTTTCAAATGCAAATCTCACCTTTTCAAATGTGCAGTGTAAGTAGATGGATTCAAATAATTTCACAAATCTCAATCTAAGGCTGCTCAGAGCATGTTCTTATGTGAATACACAAAAACAAGTCACCATGCAGCTACTATTATTTTGGTGTAGTGTTATTACAGTGATTTTTACATGAAAGTTTTCATATATATATGTATGTTTGAATATACTTCTCTGTTGCCTAGCACTACATTTCTGTTTGTTTTATAAATTCATTCAAGAAAAAACTAAGATAACATTCCAGTTTAGACGAATGTGCTACAAAAAAATGTTCATCTAAAACACATATATATTTGTCATTAGCAGAGTCATAAAACTATTAATTTATCAACTATGTATCCAAAATCACTAGTTTCGCTTTGTAATTCTAAACCAATACTAGCTCTATAAAAGGCTAAATAAGCAAAATAAATAACATACACTTTGAAGAAAAATACACAGAACAACTCTGTGTGGTATTAAAAGAGAATAAATAGGTAAAAGAGAAACAGAATACTTTTTATAGATCTTAAGAAACTAGAGTCAAGGGAATATGCCTTCCCAACTGTATCTCTTAGCACTTCTACCTCACATGAGAGTTAGAACAAGACATGGATGAAAAATGCAAATTGTAACTAATTCAAAAACCCCCTTGTCAATAAGTTAATATTGCTGTTTCTTATGCAACTATCTCAGGAACTGCAACGTGTCTAAAGCTAACCTTATGTCAATCATTTTCCAGCATTGTTTCAGTTTCAAAAAATCTCTCCCACACACTGAGCTCAATAAAGCAGCACATTCAAGAGCCATAATGCCACGCTGACAGCTGCAATCAAAATTAAAGTTGAGAAGGAGCATATGACGCCTTATGGCGACTTCCCGTTCCCTTTGTCCCTGCCATCACACCTAGCGCCAGCTCCTGCCTCACCACCCAATTATTACGATTTGTCTCCACTGGCTGAGCAGAATAACAGCAGTGCTCTTGTACACACATTACTTCCATGTCACTAACAGGGAACGGTACAGGGGGATGCCCAACCACTGATTAAAAATCCCCCCTGCTGCAGGTCTGCCCAGGACCTGCATTTCCCAACCGTGAATTCCCACAGATGTACAATGCCAAGGAAAGACAAAATGAGTCCTGTAGACACTGGAGTGACGCAAATACTATGACAACAGCAGCAGCAGATAGAAAATTGCTCTCAGTTGAATAACACTAATAGTTGTGATACACCATGAAAAATAGCCTTTGGTATAAAATTTCTCCACAGAAAGTAGAATTTTTCACTTGTGTCAGAGCCCAAGGTTTAATTTTTTTTTAATTTTAATTGAAGTTCCATAACCTAAATGTATTTGAAAAGGGAATGCTGGTGTAGAAACAGTGAAGGCAAGACATTAACTGCAGCCATAATCGTAGCATGGTTAGGATTGGAAGGGACCTTACAGACCAGCTAGTTCCATCCCCCCAACTTGCACATCAAAATCAATAGAGATGCTCCAGATATGATGTGTTCTTTCCCTGTTATCATCAGGTATTTCCCTGGATCTTTAATTTTCACTGCACAATTTAGTATTAAGGGCTCCACACCACAATTCTTAATTAAAAATTAATCTGTCCAGGTCGGATGGGGCTTTGAGCAACGTGCTCTAGTGGAAGGTGTCCCTGCCCATAGCAGGGGGGGTTGGAAGCAGAGGTCCCTTCCAACCCAAACCATTCTGTAATTGATTATTATTACCCACAACTGCAAAAATAATAATGAAAAATTGTTTACATTCCCATTATGTTCAACACTTAGCTACAACACTTAGCTGTTAACTGTCAACAGAGAGAATAAGTCTAAGAATTCTTTTATTAATCCAAATCAAATCAAAACAAGCAATGTAAATAGTGAAGAAAACCATTTTCAGAGATTCACACTGGTAAGGATATTAGCTTCAGTCTCCAAAATTGAAGTCAGTCTTGTTTTCACATTTATCACACAATTTCACTTTTAGCTTGTTTAACTGGCTTTGTTGCTATACCAATTACTGAAAAATAAGAAAAATTCAAATACATATTTCCTTGTCTCGGCTATTCAATTTTTCTAATTCTTTGGCATTCTTTCCTGTGGTTTTGGCTCTGGCTTTCATCTTAGAGAAACTTGATGCCTCTCCAAATACATCTGACCACATTTTTAATGCATGTAAATTTCATAAGCAACTGTTGAAAACATTAATCTGCTACTTCTCTGTCTCAACTTAGTCTAGTTCAGAATTATTCACACAAATAATCTTCACCCCCTCTTAAGGCCGAAGCAAGAAAAACAACAGCTTTTTAACTTTGCAAAGGAACTCTTGTGTGAATCAGTAAAACCCAATTTAAGTCCCTCAAAGAAACAACAGTTCTCACTGCCCAAATCTATCACCATGCAAATCTTCTTGCCCATAATCCCAACCCCTCTTCCTGGCTAGCCTGGCTGAGGCAACATGGGGCTCTGCAGGCAAGTCCAGTAAAAGCTGCATCCGACTGGATAACACCGGGAGACTCTTCCAGCTCTTGTGCTAATTGAAGTCCAAAATGACTAGGTCTACTTCAGTATATTAGCCACAAAATCATTTTTACATATCAAGCTCATTCAAAGCAAAAGGACATTATTTTATATTGGAAGAAACCTATATACTAAAACTTGATCCTTGTTTGTCAGTAAAATCCCTAAATAAAGATCAAAACACCTGAGAAGTATTCAGTCTTGAAACCAAAATATGTTACTATTTTTGAGCTGTGACATTATCTTTCCCACAGTTTTTGGTAAAGTTATCCATTTTGTCCCTACACAAAGTTTTTCTCTGAGCTTCCTTTCATTGCAGCCAGGAAACTCTTCATTGTAGAGCTCAGAGACTTTCATCCCCCATGCCATGTGTTGCAAATTGTTAATGACTACTTTAGCTGTCAGAATGTCTGCAGAATGGGGAATGATTGGCTTTCTTCCCTATTTTCACAGCAGACAGGTCAATGTATGCCTTTCTGCAGGATGCTTTTCTGCATTCTCTAGAGGAGCTACACTTGCTCTCATCCCATACCTCCATTTTCAGAGCTCAAGGACATGCCCAATAATGTTCATGTATTTCAGTTCTGGCTAAGTCAAAATTGCAGTTTTAATGCTGAGTTTGCTATGTGCATAACAAAATTATTCAACTGATATATTTTCTACCTAAGAATGCAGACAAAACGTAAAATCCCAACGTTTCATCTTAGAAGGAAAAAATAAACAAACCAACCTTGACCTTCTGAAAGTAATTTTGTAATACAACTTGCGATGGCAAAAATTGTAATGCAGAAGTTAAACCCACCTCTACAAACTCTTAATGTCCCTGTATCTTTGGCTTGGAATATTCCTTTGTTCTGAAAATTAAGACTAAAGGCAGTTTCTACAAAATCAAAAGAAAATCTACCAAGGTAGTTTTGCACTACACTTCCATGAAAACTTACTCTAATTAAATTTGTTTGCTCTGGTCAAACATTGGGTTGTCTTCTAGATGAAAAGAAATTCTAATACAGACTGTATCTGACGAAATGACTGGCAGTTGTAAGCAGTCATCACCATCCTTGCTCATTTCAGCAGGAACTGTAGTCA